CACACGCGCACACGCGCACACGCGCACACGCGCACACGCGCACACGCGCACACGCGCACACGCGCACATGCGCACACGCGCACACGCGCACACGCGCACACGCGCACACGCGCACACGCGCACACGCGCACACGCGCACACGCGCACACGCGCACACGCGCACACTCGCACACGCGCACACGCGCACACGCGCACACGCGCACACGCGCACACGCGCACACGCGCACACGCGCCCACGCGCCCACGCGCCCACGCGCCCACGCGCCCACGCGCACACGCGCACACACGCACACACGCACACACGCACACACGCACACACGCACACACGCACACACGCACACACGCACACACGCACACACGCACACACCCACACACGCACACACGCACACACGCACACACGCACACACGCACACACGCACACACGCACACACGCACACACGCACACACGCACACCCGCACACACGCACACACGCACACACGCACACACGCACACACGCACACACGCACACACGCACACACGCACACACGCACACACGCACACACGCACACACGCACACACGCACACACGCACACACGCACACACGCACACACGCACACACGCGCACACGCGCACACGCGCACACGCGCACACGCGCACACGCGCACACGCGCACACGCGCACACGCGCACTCGCGCACACGCGCACACGCGCACACGCGCACACGCGCACACGCGCACACGCGCACACGCGCACACGCGCACACGCGCACACGCGCACACGCGCACACGCGCACACGCGCAAACGCGCACACGCGCACACGCGCACACGCGCACACGCGCACACGCGCACACGCGCACGCGCGCACACGCGCACACGCGCACGCGCGCACGCGCGCACGCGCGCACACGCGCACACGCGCACACGCGCACACGCGCACACGCGCACACGCGCACACGCGCACACGCGCACACGCGCACACGCGCACACGCGCCCACGCGCACACGCGCACACGCGCACACGCGCACACGCGCACACGCGCACACGCGCACACGCGCACACGCGCACACGCGCACACGCGCTCACGCGCACACGCGCACTAGCGCACACGCGCACACGCGCACACGCGCACACGCGCACACGCGCACACGCGCACACGCGCACACGCGCACACGCGCACACGCGCACACGCGCACCCGCGCACACGCGCACACGCGCACACGCGCACACGCGCACACGCGCACACGCGCACACGCGCACACGCGCACACGCGCACACGCGCACACGCGCACACGCGCACACGCGCACACGCGCACACGCGCACCACCACTAACCCACACACCCACACAACCACACAACCCACACACCCACACACCCACACACCACACACCCCACACACACCCCACACCCGCACACCACCACCCCACACACCCACACAACCACACACCACACCCACACCCACCACCCCCCACACCCCACACACCCACACACCCACACCCCACACACACACGCCACACGCCCACACGCCCACACGCCCCACACGCCCACACGCACGCACGCACGCACGCACGCACGCACGCACGCACGCACGACGTCGCGCACGCGCGCACGCGCGCACGCGCGCACGCACGCACGCACGCACGCACGCACGCACGCACGCACGCACGCACGCACGCACGCACGCACGCACGCACGCACCCACGCACCCACGCACCCACGCACCCACGCACCCACGCACCCACGCACCCACGCGCCCACGCGCCCACACACACACACACACACATTCACACACACACATTCACACACACACACACATTCACATTCACACACACATTCACACACACATTCACACGCACACTCACACACACACTCACACACACACTCACACACACACACACTCACACTCACACTCACACACACACACACAAATAGACACAACTAACAGGATTCCCAATACTTTTCTATATTTTCAGGGTTTTTGTCTTCCTCCCACTTCTCATACTTTACTATATTTTCTGGGGGATCGACGATTTGTTGTGTCTGTGTTTTTTTCCCTCCTGAACCATATGTATCATATACTATGTGTACATCTACATACACATACTAGGACCGCGCGCGCGTCGCCTTCATTCCCGAAGAACTCTCGAGCCACCTTCAGTCGTCCTTCGGCATTCTTTGGGCCTCCTGGGCGGACGCATGTTGGATGTGCGGTTTTGGGCGTCTGTGGGGGCCGTTGTGGAAACCCTCTTGGGGGCTTGCACGGTCATCTTGGAAGCCTCGTGGGGCCGTTTTGGGGCGGGTGTTGGGGCCTCCTGGGCTGTCTTCAGGCTCTCTTAGGGCCATGCCGATGCCGTCTTGGGCCCATCTTAGGCGGTCGGAAGCCTGGAAGGAAGAGCGAAATCACCATAATTCTTCAGCACCTCAAGAACATCAATGTGTTTGGTCTCATCAAGGCCTCTTTGGGGCGCGCCGGGGGCTCTCCTGTGGCATGGGGACCTCTTGAGCCGTGCTGAGGCCATCCTGAGCGCTCTGGGTGCCTTTTTGGGCCGTCTTCGGATCATGCTGGTTTCTCTTAGGCTGTCTTGGGGGTACCTTAGGCTGTCTCGGAAGCCTCTTGGGCCGTCTGGGGGCCCCTTGGAGGCCCTGGGGAAGGGGTATCATAAAAGGGTGCGAGATGGCAGCGAGGTGCCGGGCCCCTGGGCGAGGATCGAGGTCCGAACTTGTGATGTCTGCGGGGGCTCTCGTCGTCGCCGCGGCTAGACGCATCTCGAAGCGAGGTTTTTGTCCGAGGAGGTGCAGGACGAGGACGGGGAGGGAGATGAGGCAGAAACATCAATAGCAATCGGGCCACCTTGAATCCGTCTTTTCGGCGCCGCGGGACCCTTTGAACCGTCTTGAGCTCCCGTTTGTGAACGTGTGGAGTGGTATCGACCCCTTTCCAGGAACCAACTGTTCATCCTGAGTTGTTTTCTGACGGTCCCAGGGGCAGGTAGGAGCCCCTCAAGCGGCCCCTCTGCGGTACCCGCGAAAAGAACCCGTCCTGACGGTTTGCTTCACAGCGCGAGCAGGTCTTCTGAGCAGTCCACGTCCTGCTGCTGGAGCCCTTCTTTTGTATGCGCCACAATTTGTTCAGGAATCCTCCTCGTGCCGTCTACATGTTCGGTCCGAACGGCCATGCTCCAATGTAAGAATGTGTATACTGAGGTGCGCATGGCAGTCTACTGTCACATTCGGGTGCTCTGCTGGGGTCATTTCAGCACGACGTCCTCAGAAATCTCGCCCCGTTCCCTTAGGTCGGGCATGTCCCCCTACA